GCTTACATGGTACACGAGGTGTGCTAAGCACAGCTTAAATCAGCACACACATTTCCAGTGCACCAAAGATGAAAATACACAGTGGTTTTCATTAAATAGCTCAAGTTGGAAAGTCCATTTTAAAAGCAATACTTAAAGTTATGTTAGGCTCATTAAGCAAAGAAAGTCCTTTTTTTCCTTTCTTTCCACCCCCATCACTCCTGCAGAAGATTAGACCTCTAAKAAACTTGAAAGACAGAGTGGTAGGTACAAGAAACAGCTGGAACGTATCTGGTTCTTAAAACACAATAAAAACCAAGTGTTTTCCAAGGCTCAGCAAGGTCAYGGTCTAATATAATACACCCAAGTGCTTGTAAAGAACTTAAAACACTGAGAAGGGGGAGAAAAAGTGTGTTTGACACAGAGAAGGTGCTAGAAGGCAGTTCAGAGTAAGGCAGGGGGTGAAGTTGGAAGTCACCAGCACCTCTCCTCCAAACTATGGGGAGATGCATACACAACCTAACCAAAAAAGAAAGGGTCAGGCCATAGCTCTAAAGGAAACATGAAGAAAGAGCAACTCCATGACTGACTCTAGTTGGTAACCTCAACATACTGAGCTTGAGAAAGTAAGAATCCGCTTGGATTCTTTGCTAGTCCACAGATCCTCTTTGGCAGCACCGCCTTTCCCCAGCACACAGGACATTCTCAGCAAGTTAATTATTTCTTYTAAAGTGCCTGCAGATGCTAATTTTAATGCACAACTTGGAAAATAATGCTGCAGACTCCAGAGCGGGCAGTCACCTGCAAGGGGAGCAGCAGTGTTAGGACCTCAGCTAAAGGTCCCAGCGCATGCGCATGGCCCAGGGGGGAAAGACAGGCTTGAAGGAATCTTAAGATGTAATGAACACAAAAAGAGGAAACCAAAAACAGGTGGGAAAAAAAAGCAATTTCACAGAAATGAGTAAATAGATTTTATTCTCAAAAAAAGTCCCATTTCTTCTCAAAAAAGTCCCATTTCTCCCTTGCCGATCCCTCAAATACATGATGGATAACTTGTCTTCTTTTCAATCTTTGGAAAGGCAAGAGAGAAAAATGTTTAACCAAGTTAATAATAACATACAGGTATACACACACACACACACACACATATATATATGTCTCTTCCCCTTTCCAAAAGTTATTGCTGCTCTACAGCAGCTTGACAAAGCACTCTCAGTCTGCAGCCAGTGCGAACATGAACTCCAGGATTTACATTCCCATAGTATTTACTTAACGCGACGCACACTCCTGCATCCATTCGTGTTTATGTATTAATTGGACACACTTACTCTAGGCCGGGGCTCGGTGCCAGGCTGCTACACACAATAAATGAAATATTGATGCATCTGCTTAACGGGGGCTTAAGCGCGTCCCTCGCGCAGACACCGAGGAGGCAGCCAAGGCTCTGGCGGCAGCGCTGCAGGAAGCTCTCCAGGATCCAGCCCACCCAGGTTTTATGGCTTCACAGAATCCCTCGCTATTAGACACGGTTTAGGCAACGCAATACACGGAGCTTTGGCCTCCTCGCTTCAAGGAGGGTTTTCCTTTTGCAAACACCCAGGGCACGGGCTGTCTGGCCGCATCCAAGGAAAACCGCTCGTCATGCCGAGTGCAACTGGAAGCAGGATGCCCCGGATGAGCCTGGGGCAGCTCCCACGTCCACAGGGAGCTCTGCCGTGTGCGAGCCAGGCAGCAGACAGGCTGGGGGCAAGCACAGCTCCGACTCGCCGAGGCTGGAGCACCGAAAACATTTCTGCTGGGCCTCTCGCTGCATTTTCAGAAGCCATAAAAATATACAGTAGAAAGGCAGGCTTAGAGCTATGGCAGCAGACAGGAACATGTGGTGACCACATGTCAGAGGCCCCACGCCGGCCTCAGCGGCCGCGCTGCCTGCACAGACCAGGAGACCCCAGCGAGCAGCCCCCGCTCTCAAGTCCTACCTTCACCTGGCACCTTGGGCTCGGACACCCTGCAAGTTTGCTCCCCGAGTTTCACACAGACAGGAACTGGAGGGTTTTGTTTTTTTTTTTTTTGTTTTTTTTTCTCTCTCTCTCCAGGGGAAACTTCTCGCAACGTCCCCTGCGCACCAGGCACTTTTACACCACCAGGGAAGATGGGCGCCCAAGGAAGCCCCAATGGAGCCACCAAGAGCTGTCCCCTCACGGCCGCTTCTTTGGGAGACAGCAGGGGAATAAACACCCCTAGCAGCGTTACTCGCCCCTGGGCCTTCCAACTAAACATTTACAGACATCCCGGCTCCGGTTTCCAGCTGCCTCCGCAAGCAGTTGGAGCTGGCGCCGTTCACCTGCAGAGGGGGGTTGGTGCAAGGCACACACATGCCTGCTTCCCCACTGCTCCCCGGCCTGCTGGGGGGTTTTGGGGAGCAGCGGGACCTCACCCTGCCC